TATATATATATATATATATATATATATATATATATATATATATATATATATATATATATATGGTAAAAATATTTTTTAAAAAAAATTGGTCAAAACCAAATCTATAATAAGATCCTGGAATTCAGTTTTAGCTTCTTATTTTATTTTGTCATCTTCTCCCCCCATCACCTCTTTCATAATGACATTGTCCATATGCAATGTATATACTTGTGGAAACAAAAATGAGATGACAATAATTATAATTCTAGTAAAAGGGAAATATACTTCAACAGAGACAAGTATCATCCGCATTGGCTTCATCATTCATACAAATTCATCACTAGTTCAATATGGCAATGGATAAAAATGCTTCAAGACACGAAAATGATGATTCTCTTATGATCACTTACAAATTGAATAGAAAGAAAACGACATTTTCAAATCTCTGATGTGTAAACATGAAGATCTCTCGTAAAAAAACACTATCAATACTCTTATCTATATGACATTGCACAAAATTGGAAGATTATACTGCCTCTGATTCACACAGAACACACACACATCTGAAAGACTTTCGCAGTTTCATATATTTCATGTTAGGTGGTTGTTTTGCTGGTTTCTAATACCGAGATACCTAACAAGAATCTGCAAATCTAACAAAGGAATGAAGTTAAAATGACTCTGGTTACCATTTATAATGAATATATCGATCCCAACAACCTCAGTACAGCAGTGATTGTAAGACTAACAAATCAGCTCCTATGTTCATATAATTTTAGCACTTGGGAAACAAGCTTCAGATGTTGATCACAGCTTTGGGATATTCAGAAAAGAGACGAACATCCATCTTCATCGACTGCATCATTCATACAAATTTGCTTGCTCAATTCAGCAAAGAAAGGAAGAAGTACAAAAATCTAGGTCAATGAATGATATTTCTAGGACAAGCTGATGGCAATTATTAAGATTTTGACAGACAGAAGACGAGTGCCTTGGCATAAAGTAGCTCGTAGACTTGAAACAGTTGCAAGCTCATACGGTTATGCTGAAGGCTCTTCACTTATTTAGCACGCTAACATTAATCCTGCAAAGAAAATGATTTGTCTTATATCAACTCATTCAAATCACCTTGCAAAATTTGTGACACTCCGTTTAAAAGGAATATATATCTCAATTCTCAAGATGCAAGCATAGCTTCTAACAGAACTAATGAGCGATGGAAGTTCAATTTCAGGAGGAATCTGAATGTCAGGGAGATGAGGGAATTTTTTGCTGAACTTTTGCTGATTCTAGAACGCTTCCAAGGTTTGACTCAATACCAGATAAGCCTATTTGGAAAATCAATAGCAAATGCCTATTCACTGTTAATGCAGCGAGAATAGCTCTTCTAGCATCAGCATGGATTGACTTCCTGTAATGTTTACATGAATTTGCTGCAGAATTGTTCTTGGCCTTCGTGACAGATCTTGAAAACATATGCTCCCTACAGAGCGATGTGTTTCCCATGGTTGGTGGCTACAACTACAAGGGCTTTCTTAACACAGGAGAATTTTGATTATGCTCTAGATGTTGTTGTTTTTTTGTAATGTCAAGCCAGAAAGCGTAAATCATTTGTTTTTACATTGTTGAATCGCCGATAAGTTATCACAATTGTTTCTAAATATGGTGGGACTCAAACGGTGCATGCCAAATGAAACTGGATACTTAAGGTAATGGAACATAAGGGCAAGAAATAAGCAGCAAAAGAAATAGTGGTACACCATACCTACCAGTATTTGGTGGACAATCTGGAGGAGAAGGATTGTGAGATATTTTGAAGACAATGGAAGCTATATTTATTATGCAGAAGATTAAGAAACTTACCTTTTCTTAAAAAAGAAACCTCAGTGAAGTAGTGAATATCAGTAGCCTACTATAGATCATCAGAAACCAAGAAATAGGAGGTCATGATGAACTAATTCTGCTCCTAGGAACTCATAATCACTTGAGCCAAGATAGAGAAGAAGAATGTAGCACATTCGAGTTAAAAAAACAGACTGTTTTATCATTCATCATCTATTTTTATTTCTGATAGTACTGCATTACATATAATCAATTGTAATGCCCAATAAGTGCATGACAAATAAACGTTTCGGTTCTGTCGGTTGTGTTGTCTGCCAGTGTGTAGGGTGTTGATCTTTTCTGAATGAAGTATCAGGATACAACTAATGTTTTCTTTGACTTATATGGTGAAATAAAATGAAGCCCTAGAGATGCATGAAAGTTTCTGACTAAAGGGGATATGACATGACTACTTCCATCGGACTATCTTTTTAATTTAAAGAAGCAAGTAGATATACCAACGTCAAACGATATAGCTAGACTGCAATACAGGGGCTTCCATAAACATTAACAGAAGTACAATGAATCAGATGATTCCCTTCCTGTGATTCTACATATATGGTAGGAAAACCCAAAGTTTAAGTTGTCTGTCCATATTATTGTCATTGTGTTCATTAATGAAATACTTACACATGCAACTAACTAGGTATGAGCTTCAGCTGAGAGTACAGCATATTCTTGTCAAAATTGACAACCAAAGAAGAAAGGGCATACGTTCCTCCAGTTATATGTAGAGACAGTACATACAACCGATATATAAACACTACATGAACATCAATGTACCGGAACTCATAAGAGCATTGCAAAATTACTCTATCAGATTCATATTGAATAGGAATTTGGTATGCAAATTTATCCACCATGAAAAATTGCTTCAGAAACGCACGTCTTACAACAATCTTCACAACAATCAAACAAAATTCATACTGACAAGTCATAGACCATCATCCAGTTACACACGATTCCAATTATAAGCATTTGCATTTTTTATTGCTAACAATGAAGTTATTGTAGTCATACATTGATCAAATAAACTAAAATTAAGAAAAATAAACTGTAACCAAACTAAACACTGCTCACCTCTCATTCATTCATTCAATTGCTCAAGCTCAGCCTTCAATTGCTCAATCTTAAGCCCCATAGACCTTTGAATCACCCCCTTTTCACTCTCTGTCACCTTTCCCAACAACCCTTGATACAAATCAAGAACTTCCTTAACAGCATCACGAGCACATTCAGCTTCTTCATTAAAATACACAGTCTCTTTAGACTCCATAGCTGATTCAATCTCCTCTCTTGCCTCTGCAAACTTGAGATTGATTTTATCAACTTCCCTGTCAGTGTCAACACTATATCGCCTTAAATTCTGAAAGTTTACGAGCTGGGTTGATGAATTTGAACTCGTCGGACCAAGAAAATGTCGGGTTTTCGTGAGGTTGAAGGATGAATTTGAGAGAGATGTACGAGTTCTTATGGAAAAATAAGATTTGGGTATTGTTGATTTCTCAAAAGGGTGTCTGAGAAGCGATTTACAGAGAGAAATTGATGAACGTCGATGCATTTTGATTGAACAAGCAAGAAAATGGTTTCTGGAAGAAAATGCAGAACCCTTCCTTTTGCTGTACTTGGTGGTTAAACCCCCATATTTGGGCCGTGATCTAGAAGCTAAACGAGGAAAGCCCAACACACTTGTAAAGTCACTTTAGTTATAATTTGTATATTTACGGGTTATAATTACGATTTAAGTTGTCTTATTTATGTAATTTGTGGATATATTTTTATAATTTAATTATTTTTGTATAAACTCAAAATAATAAATTAATACAATTACAAACATCTGAAGTGTAAACAACTATAGAAATTATGAATTATACAAATTCTAAATTATACAAGCTAAAAAATTAAGCCCCTTAATTATAACTAAAAGTATGTCGCGAATTTTAATTAAGCAAAACGATAGCTATGTTAACTAATTAACTGATATATATTTGCTTATACACGTAATTTTTTTAAATATAATACTCCCGTCTCCCTTGATCCCTTTTATACGACTTAGTTTGAGTATAAGAAAAAAAATAAAGAAACACTTTGAATTTTTTATTTATAATAAGTGATATGTATTTACATGATTATAAATTATTTCATTAAATGATAAAATTAATATTTTTAAATTAATTTGTTATTTAATATAGATATGTATCATTTCTTTTAAAAATCGACCAAAAAGTAAAATGAATCTTAAAAACTGGGACAAAGGAAATACTTGCTATGAAAAATACTTTTTAATGTTAGGAAATATTTTCTATAAAAGTAATCATAAATTAAATATAAGTATTTGTCTTTTTAAAAAACTTTTGGCCAAACATGTTATTATTAGACAACTGAACCACACCTAGTTAAACTTCAAAGTGTATTTGAGAGTTGAAAACAATGAACTACATTTAAATGGAATTAAAAAAATTAAAACATGTGAAAGATATTATTTCAATTAGAATTGTCAACATTTAACCAATATTACGAATATTAAATTTTAATATCAGTATATTGCATAGTAGGTGAACTTTAAGGGTATAGAGCCGTCTTTCAATGTGAGATTTTTTGACGCGTATTTGAATTTGATCGGACTTAAATATGAATATCAAATATCAGGTGGGAAACAAAAAAAGCTATCAAATACTTAGAATATTTTTTCGATATAAAGGGAAAACGATAATCATGGATTTATTAAAAGAACTATAAAATTAATATATCTTTTTTTATTTACGTTTTTTCTCTTTACATAGGGTTAATTACGGAAAGATCTTATTCACTTGGATAACTACAGGGTTTGATTAGCCACATACCAACTTGTATAATGATAAAATTAATTTATCGATATTTATATTCAATTAATAGAAATATAATATATATATATATATATCACATGATTGGTTAACTTATATATTCTTTTATTTTATTAAACTACTTAATAATAGTTGGTTGAATCAGTCCTCTTCTCATCTTGCTTCTATTTAGTAGTAAAAGTAAAAGTAATAATATTTAGTATATCTGCAGTATCTTAATCTTTTATTTTTATCACTACTCATTGCATCATTTTATCCATTTATCTTACTATTTTACCGTCGTTATTTTCTAATCCACAAAAATACCGCTAAAATCTGCGTAAATCTTACTATATCCTCAACCGTTTTGCATAATATTATGATTTGTAAGATTGGACAAGTTTAACTGAAACCACAAACTAAAAAAAATCATAACTAATAAATCTCACCAAAACCACTACACTTAATCAACTATTGCAATAAATTACTCCAAATCTTGGACAAAACTACAGTTGATGCAACTGATCTCCAAATTAGTCAACAAACCCCATCTTACCCTGCCATTTATATAAAGCACACACCATATCCCCATAAACCTGAATTTAATACCAGTAAAAAATCTCACCAAGATAGAGTTTAACTATACTTCCTTCATGGCTCGCGCATTATTACTACTCACACAAAATAAGTTCACTAGCGTATCTCAAGTAGGTTTTGCCACAGGAACGTTGCTCCTGTGTGCACTGGCGCTCTTCATGTGCGCCAGCCATTCGAGGAAGTGGAAGCGCAAGTGGAGAGGCTATGGTGATCAACATGACCCTATTATTCACATCAATCATGAAAAGATTGATGAGGATTACCATTTTGAAGGTGATGATCCAAGCACCTGTAGTGGTGAAGTTGCTATTTGGAAGAAGAATATAATCATGGGAGGAAAATGTCAGCTTCCTGAATTTTCTGGTGTCATAATATATGATACTGCTGGGAATTTAGTTGATCCCAAAACTCCAAGACCTCTTGCTCTTACATGGAAAGAATAGTGTTTCTTTTACTTCTATTAATTGTTCTTATAATATATTGAAAATCAAGTGGGCAATTAATAATGATATATGATTCTTCTACCAATGTTTTGATTTTCTTTTAAAAGTCATCTGGTATTTGAAACTCACTAGTCCAGGAACTTCTTCAATTCTAAAGTTGTAAAACCTGAGACCTATGGTTAAGCAAGACCTGACAATGTTACCACAAAATGAACAGGAAGATCCAAGGCAAAAAAGTATGTCTCCCCTTTACCTACTTGACCAAAGTGAACAAACTTTTATGTCATATCAGTAATTCAATTGTCTTGTCAATACTTTCTTAGAGTTGCATCAAATTTCATATCTTGTTATCTTTGTATATATGTCAGTTAGAATAGACTAGAAGAACACAAATTCTAACCATACAGATAAAAGAAGCCACAAAGACAGGAAAAGTAATGAACAAAATTTAGGAAAACATGAGTTCAATTCATAGGAATCTGAGAGTAGCCACATATATAGCTGTAAGTATATTACAAAATAGCTGGAGTATGCCCACCGGAGAGGACGGGAGTGGGGGGGGGGGGGAGGGTAAAAAAAATGCTGGCAAATCTTGATCAGCAAAAGGCTGTTTGTATCCAAGAACATCAAGAGCTTTCATTGTATGGAATAATTATTTGCGCCAAAGCAATCAACTGTACATCTCAGGTTTCAAGATCCCCACGTAAGGTAAGTTCCTATAAACCTCAGCAAAATCTAACCCGTAGCCAACCACAAAATAATCTGGACACTGCAGGCAAAGTAAAACAAGAATAAACAAAAGGCTACTTATATGCACCAAGATTCTCACAAGTTAAACCTTTACAACTAGAAAATATGAGTTTCGATAATCTTTCTCTGCTTGAGGAGAAGGGGAGATGCAGGAGCTTTAAAAATACAAGCTACAACATTTTGCTTTCTCGGCGTGTTGTTATTATAAACTGACTATACATTAGAACTAGTAATGGGCCATCTCTAATCTATCATAATGCAATATCTCAAAATTGGATTTGCCAATAGTATCTTTCTCTGAAGTCGATTAGTGCAAATGCGGAGAAATCTCATATTCTCAATTTAGTTATGAGGCAAGAAAACTAAAATGTTGTGATCAATTTACAAAACCCATGCTAGGTTTGCCTTTATTGCATAAATGATCACGAACCAATGTACTACCCGGACCTGACCTCTTTCTCATTTGCAACTACTGGTTACTATTAACAACAATAAATAACTTCAAGTCTTTGTTAAGTTTGACACAGTAAAAGAAAAACTCAAAAACAATCGCAATCTAATATGAGGTAATGAAATATATAACTACACATTAGATGAATAATGCTTAACATGATTCAAAATGCAGCCAGAATGGAAGAGTTTCCTTAGAGCAAAGAGAATGTTAAAGATTACCTCAAAACCACGGTAGAACTTCCCCTCTCCCACAAGTTCGACATTAACCTTCCTCTTTGATGGTTTATCAAAGAGAGTACACACTGATATGGAGGATGCCCCTTTAGATTTCAGGTGTTCAAAGAGGCAGGCCAACGTGTTTCCTGTATCCACAATGTCCTCAACCTAAGGAAATGTCAGAAGCACCATGAATATCAGCTCCGATTGAACACATTTCAGAACAATAATTAATCAAATACAATGTAAGCATGCTGATATACAGGTTAGTTAAATACATGGTCACTGATATGATTATACAACTTAAATACAGGATTTACAACTTCAACCGATAGGATGCACGTAACTAAACTTATACACACGACAACCAAATCTCACACAACACAAAATAGTGGTTCACATTATACATCTGCATATTGGCGAAAGGAAGTAGGGGACTAGGACAACCATTTAGGAGCAGTTATGACAGCAATAGATGGGGTAACAAGTACAATTTAACCAGCCAACATATTCAGAGAACGAAAGCCATATTAGCAGGACCCTATTACACTCGGAGAAGCTCTCCCCTGAATCCTAACATCTACTGGAAACCACGTAGCTTATGTTGAACCTACCAAAATCATAACGTATAAACGCATGAACCTTAGTCAAGTCGTAAAATGTTCCATCTCAATTGTTGATAAACTATCAAAATTTATCACCAAAAGAGCAATTCCCTTGCTCTCACACTAGTTAAAAACAATCTTTCTGTATGTCCATCCACGACTAGACTGCCCCTTTTTCTATCTTTGTACACAAGAAATTGTCATACATAGAAATTAGCAGTTCAAAATCTCAGTTAACAGAGAGAATATTAACCATTTACTGAATAAAGATTGCATTTTTATTCAACTGAATTGCATATGTAAAGTAGTAGCATATATATCAAATTAAAAAACTTCCAAAAGGGAATTCTACCAAAGAAACAGAGTAAAAATCTGCGTACCAAAATGACATGCTTTCCAGTAACATCAATTTTCAAGTCGCAAGAAATTTTGGGTTTTCCACTGGATACAGTACCCGACCCGTAAGATTCGACCCGAACAAAATCAACAGAAACGGGGAGGTTGATTTTGCGAACAAGGTCAGCTAGGAATAAAAAAGCACCAGTAGCAACACCGACAACAACCGGAGCCGATGACGAAGAAAGCAAAGGTGCTCCTCCATTGTTGGTAGATGAAGAAAAATTGAGGGTAATTTGGGAAGCAAGTTCAGAAACTCTTTGAGAAATTTGTTCTTCTGTGAAGAGAATCTTTTGAATATGATTCTCCATAGCAGCCATTGATGCCTTTGAGAGCAGAATCAGCAGCAAGAATATAAATTGTCTGCAACTCTCTTGCGAATAGGGCTCAAGGACTTTTAATTGAAAAAAGGAAAATTACATTAAATATTCATTTATACATAAAATTTTTACAGTATTTCTTTTTAATTTATGAAAATCAATTTCTGTTACTCAAAGTATTTATTTTCTCACAAAATCTTTGACCAAATATCTTTTATATATATATATTTGGACTTAGTGGCTTAGACGAAAAGGTTATAAGTTTTTGTTTTTTTTTAAATTCAATATTATTGATATTAAAGTTTGATTATTTTGTCACGAAAATTAATAAATGTTTTCTATAAAAAAAAATTACACTCAAAGTTTGAACTTGAAATATTTGATTAAATAACAAAATAATCTCATGCACTACATTTTTTGGTGATAAACAAGCTATTAGTTACTCTTGTTATTTTAATTTATTTGTCATACTCTAATTTATCGATAAAATTTAAAAATATAAAAATAACTTTCACATTTATGATCTTAAATTTTAAAAAAACAGATTGATAAACATGTAAAAATTAAGTTGAAATTGAAAATCATAAAAAAATATTAAATAGCTATTTTTCATGAATTGATTAAAAAGCAAAGTAAGGGTTAAAACAATCCAATTGAAAGGAATACTTATTGTTGTTGTTTTCAATGAAATATAACTATTTTAAATTTGTATTACATAATGCTTTATTCAAAGAAAAAAATTTACTATCAAAAAATATTTTTATACTCAAAAACTTTAAAATCTAAAATCTGTAATTTCTATTGTATACGAAATCTTTGCTGACATCCTTTATATGCTCAGAAAAATATTCTTTTGGCAAATCAAAGATTCCTCTAGTATTTTTTTGGGTCTGTCCTTTTTTGACAGTTGTTTTTATCTTTTTATATTGTTTTATTTTCTGTTTATGTTCATTTTTTCTTTCAATTCTTTTTTGTTCTTTTGGTAAATTTATCTTCTTTTTTCTACTTTTATTTTATCTGTTTAAACATACAAACAAAAACGTCACGATCATTATTTATAGACTAAAGTATAAATTTTATTCTAAGAAAAAAATAGAATTCAATTACTAGAAAATCAGTTGAGTTTCTGAAGAGGTGTAATAAGGAAAAAGGTCTTAATGTAATAATATGTTTTTTTTTTGTGATTTAAAATCGATATATTCTTTATTATAAAAATAATTTATTATATTTCTATCGCGACACATAAGAATAAAGTTAGCAAGTCAGAAGTGACTCATCCGAACCTTTGTCTTTTGTAATTTAAAATTGGTATGTTCTTTGTTATAAGAGACCGTTTGGTTATTGTATAAGAGACATTTTATTTATGTATAAAAAGTTACATTAGTTTTACTATGTTTGGTAAAAGTTTTATAAAAGTCAACATAATCTATACCATGTTTGGTTGTATTTTTGTAATCCTACATAATCAATACCAACATAACTTATGCGGGAATCTACATATAAAGTTATGCAGGGTAGAAGGTGGAATACGTTAAGTCGGTATTAATTATACATGTATTAAAGTGATAAATTACATATTTACTCTATTAATTTATTTTATTATTTTTAATTGAATTTGTGTTATAAATACATTGAATTAAGTGGATTGTCCACTGAGCTTATCATAAACTTATCCTTATCATGGATATGTATTCCCAAAGTGATATGAACCTTTTTGGGATAGAAATGATTCTACTAATGTGACATTAAACATGGTGACCTTTTGATTGATTTCTCTACCTATAAATAGAAATATCATTCACCATGTAATATACACTTGAATAAGAAGAAAAGTCCTCTTCTTTTATATATTTCTCTTATCTTCTTCTCTTTATGATTATAGTCTTATTAGCTTAATTTTATAACACGTTATCAACACGAGACTCTAGCCAATTGAGAGTGAGTTTAGTTTTTCTTTAGCTCATATTTTGGTTGATCTCGTTTTGAGAATCAAGATATTATTTGCATAAAATCAGGTATGTACTTTCTAAAATCATTTTATGATTTAGAATGCAATAGTATTCAGTCACTAACAATTATCGGAAATCAAAGGCATGTACTATTATTGGTTAAATATGACATGCTATAGAGAACCAAAGTCATATACAACCAGTGTGATTCAGATGATATATGATTTAGAGTTTATGTAGGTAATTGATCATCAATGTTTTTATTAATGCCCTAGGCTTGGCATTCGTAAAGAAGAGATGCCAAAATACGAAGAACAGTTGGAGCTGAAGATTGCAAAGGCACAGTTATAATTTTGCGGGTGAAGTCGTTACTTTCCAAAAAGTAGTTATTTTCCTAACAGATACAATTTTTCGAAAAGTTATTTTTTTTCCCCAAAAGACACAACTTTCTGGATAAAATGGGTCTGAAGGAAGTCAATTTTAGATTTTTTAATCACTAAATTTTTTTTTCTTTCTCTGCATTTATTTTTCTCTAAAACAAAATCAAAGTGTCGATCGACTGAGTCTGTGTGACTTGTTATTGTTCTTCAGTTCGTTGAAGTTAAAGAAGTTTGAGGTACCGCTATTTCTTTAACAGGTTTAATCCGTTTAATCTTGGGAGAAATTAATCCATAACCTTGGGTACAATGAGGGGATTAAATTTCTTAAGGACACACAGTAGTTTCTTTTTGTTTTGAATTTTCTTTCTTCATTTTTTCATTGATCAATTTGTATAATAATTTAAAAATTAATTCATCTGTTTACAATTTCATGCTTCCTAATTTGTGTGGCTTAACCAATCTATAAAGTAACAAGTATCTATGAATTTATTGGATGTTCATGTGACATTTTGAATTTTCTCCTTTTTTTTTACTAGTATATCTTGAGTTAAATAAGTTGATGTTCATAGAGATCACAACAAAGGATAATGTGGCAATATAACCACCAATTTGATAAAACTCATACATATCTTTCAGAATTTTTTCTTGTGTTATATTAGTCTAGCACAAATTCGGGATCAAGATTAAAAAAAAAAGGAAATCTACTAACCCTATAAAATTCTTCAAAGAGAAATGATCATATTAATTTGGTACAAAATTATTGTGACCTTTTCCACTTACTATTTTCTTATGTATACTTAGAGCTGTCAAAATTGATTGATCTAATCCTATCAGGCTAAAGAGTTAAATAGGTTGTGATGGACTGACCTTAATTAAAAAATCTATAAAATAGCATCTCAATCCAACCCTAAACGGGACACGAGTTTGTGAATTACATATATTTCAGTGAATATTTACAAAACAAATACATAAAAGCCAATATACAACATTCAAAAGTTTAATTCGAGCAAAAAAATATTACATGATCATTATTTTCATAAACAAGACAATAAAAAAGAAGCGAAAAATTAGGCATAACACAAAAGCAAAAGAGATCAAAGATTCTTAGTTATAATGGAGGAATGAAATTAGGCTAATTAAAAAATTTAATGGGCTAATAACCCTAAAATGTAAAAGATATGCAAAGAATATAATCTTGATTTTATATTTGATATTTTACAAATATTTATTGATAAAATTTTAACAAGTAAAACACTACTTAATATATAAATAAATATGTTTAAAATTCACGGCTCGCGGGCTGGCGTCAAATGATTGCGGGTTGATCTACGAGGCCAGCAGACCAAATAAGGTTGGCTAAATAGCCTCATTTCTAAATGGACTGAAAAAAATTAAGTCCAACACCATTTACTTCAAGGGTTGGATTGGACCAGCCTAACGGGTCAAACCCATTTTGATAGCTCTATGTATGCATATGCAAAAAAAAATATCAAATAAAATTACAATTTCTCCACAATTAAGATATCCCAAAATTTTAGAAATTAGATTTACTTGCCTTCAAGTTTAGCCCATTTTTCAATTAAGTTATCTTTCTTTCAATTTGTTTGTGTTACTATTCTTTTTATTTCGTTTATAAAAGAATGTCTTACTACTTCTTAATAACTCTTCAATTATAATTTTACACATGACACGTTTAAAATCACAATATAAAAACGAAGAAAATATATATTTTTGCTAGTTACAAATAATTAATAAGTTATCTAAAGACTATTCCAAAACGAGTTTTTCAATACAAAAAATAATCAAGTAGACATTTGAGCCCATATTTTGGGCGGGCCAAGTTATAAACCCAAATTTGAAGTCTCATTTCCCGCCAGTTCGATATACATCACTGTTTTGACGGAAAACAATCTCCGGCAACGGAAGGATGCCGACGGTTTTTATCGCCGTTCAGTGTTGCGAATGCTCCACCATGCAGGTATCTATCTCTCTTTCTCTGTCTGTACATAGATAATGATGCTGTAACGATAAATCGAGGATTTTCAGGTAAAGCAGCAGAAGAAGAGTAGCAACAAATGGACCTGCGTGGTTTGTAATCAGAAACAGTCTGTTCGGAAAGTGTTCGCCCAGGGGTATAAGGCTAAGGAAATTCGCCTATTTGTTCAGAGTTTCAATATGTCTCGCCAATTTACGGATCAATTGCCTGTGATAGACAGAGAAGAAATTGAAACCCTAGATATCGAAGAGCAGAATCTAAGTCATGGAAGTTTGAAGAGAAAGGATTGGACAGAGTACCTTGATCCAGAAGAAGATGCAATTGGAACTGATGAAGTTTCAGGTAACTTAAATTTCTTATAGTACTGAAGATTTAAGAGTCTGATGAAGTTTATTATAGGTTTTTAAATTGTTCGATCTGGAAATGCAGGAGACGTTGTGGAGCCGAAGATTGTGACGGAGTTACCCAAAGAATTATTCAGAAGGCCTAGGTTGAACAACTACTCTGCTGTTGCAGGTAATTTCAAACCAGTTTTCTCAAAGCGGAATGCCAGAAAACAAAGCACATCTCAAGGTTACCGGAATGCACAAAACACAGGTAAACTCGATGGCTTCTTACATAGAGTAATTCAGAATCTAGAATTAGTGGATTCGTGAAACAAGTGTGATTGTATATACTTATGCATAATTTGAGCCAAAAACAATTAGTTCAATTGAACTCATAGAACCTGTCCTGGACCCCCCTATGGGCTATGGCACCTTATTTTAGTGCCTAAGCATAAATACGATGAGTGATTTTAGAACCAAATGATTGTAGAACGTACTAAGGTTGGAAGAGCTTTGAGTACATATAACGATTGGCAGGTGTTAAAGCAATTTGTTGAGTTGGTATTTTGAGAATGAAGATGATCATAGTTACGTCTTACAAAGACCTTCACCGTTTCCATCCAATTTTCCTGTTGGGAAACTGCATTTTGGAATTTAAGTAAGCCTGTTTTATGTTAAAAGACTGTAAAGATGTAGCCCCTTTCTCCGCGAGTAGTTCATTCACTCCTAGTGCCTACCATTTCTACATACTATTGAGAAAAGAGAGGTGGATCTAGGAGCTCAAAATTGGAGCTTTGACTTGCAGAAGTTGAACCAAGCAAACATCAGGCAACAATGGCATCGGTGATATCCAAGTGGGGAGATAATAGAACAACTCCACTAGACGTGTCTGCTCAGCCAGCAGCAAACAGTGTTTGCAAACTGAATGAAGGCATCAACTTATATGACAATGACAATTATAGAAATGAAGGAGAACTTGGTTATGGAATGTCAGTACACAGAAGTCAGCCAAAGACGGCCAACAAAGTCTCCAAATGGGCCGAGTACATAACTGAAGATGAAGATGATTGTCTCTCACAGTTTGCTAGTGGGAGAGGATTCACGTCTGAATTAAATGAATATATCATCCGAAATGACCATGACGATTATATAAATGGTGAAGGAAATCTTGATTATAGCAAGTCAGAAGAGAGATGTAATCCAAACACAACCAACAAAGTCTCCAAATGGACCGAGTACATAATTGAAGATGAAGATGATTGTTACTCGAAGTTTGCAAGTGGGAGAGGATCCACATCTGATGTCAACAGATGGAGTGGCAATACCTTTGAGACCTCATTGAAGGATCAAAGACTAGATGACGAAGAAATCCACCCCGATTTTCTCTAGGCTGACAGCAAGGGAGTAGTTTAGTTTGATTTAGTGTTGTATCTTTTTTATAGCACTGTGTTAATACAGTGGACTGTAAGACGTTTATAAGCTTGAAGTATGACTATGAAGCCGCGAAATACTGCAAGTTCTCGACATGAAAAGGAGAAGAGGAAATGCCTGAAAGTCTTCTAAGTAAACTTCATAATGTCAATTATCCCAGGTAAAGAAGGGACAGACACAACACACCTTTTACCAACAGATCATGTTTAAGATCAAAGGAGCTTTGTCATGTCCTTGCACATTAGACTGCATAAATATTATCCATCAGTGACCCTAAAGTTAGCACCAAGTTTCACTTAGACATGTTAGCAAGGCTGTTTATTTTAGACACCTCATGTAAGGTTTTATTGTGTCATTTTAACACTTTTTGCGCAAGAGTATGATACACTCGTTTATTGCGCGTGAAAAGCTTATTTAGCCATTTTTTAGTTATTTTTCTTCTTCTTCCCCATTTTCGGCCATAATTTTCCAAAGTTTAACTCCATGCATGGCGGATGCTACAAAATTTAAGAAAAGACGAATTTTAAGATTTAAATATTGAAATAATGATAAAATTCTTTTCTGGAGGAATTTAATATCGTCACATGGAAGAAGAAGATTTGATTTTTCATGCCTTCTTATTTTTTTCAGTTAATTTTAATGATTTCAATTTAGTTTTACTGCTTTGTTGTTGATTAAGAAGTATCCGGATTCATAATTAAATTTATTGTTCCGTGAGGAGTGATTTGGTGGGTTACGTCTAAGCTATTTGAATCGACCCAGATTGAATATTTTATTTTTTAAGAATTTCAATTTGATGACTTAAAGATTTTTACGGATATTATAAATATCCGAACTTTCATGTATAAGTTGAAAAAACTTTATGCCTGATGAACTGGGCTGCAAATTAATTTTTTTAATTGGTTAAAGATTCTTTTTGTATTTATATGGGCAGAAATGTTATGTATCATCGATTTGTTGGCTATCTATTTTTTATTTTTTTAAAAATTTATTATTTAATAACAATTTTAAATTTAAATAACAAATATCATCATTTAATGGAGCATTTTACATGTCATCCCTCGTATAACTTCGTTATTTAACAATGATTAAAATATTTTCTTTTGCAGGTGCGCATATAAACTCATATAACTTCATTATTTAACAATGATTAAAATTCTTTTTTTTACAGGTGTGCACTTAAAATAACTTGACCTTTAATAGGAGTTTTTGTATAGCCGTAGTGTTTGATATATTATAGTAAAACTTGATGAAATTAAAAATAATTAAAGGGGATTTGTCTATCACAAGTCTAGAACCTAACGATTATATTTATATTTGAAAAATATGAAAAAAAATATATTTATATGGTTTGGTGAACAGGGAGGTTGTTGCGGCCGAGGAGGCGCTGCTTTCTCACCTAAATAAAAATCTACGATTTATCTAAAAAAAGTAGTTTACAACTGTTCAATCAGTTTTTCATAATGTTTTATGTTAAAATAAGATGTGTTACAAATTCAGGTGCTAAAGGGTTAAAAAAATGTCGCAAAATCGGGTGCTGAAAACAGAACTGTAATCAAACAAAACAAATCCATCAATTGCAAACATGTCTAGAAAGTAACAAAAGATAAAATTAAAACATAATCAAGAGCAAAGTAAACTCCTAGAAGAAGTGCTCTTTGCTAAAACTTAAAAAACCTACAGAAAATGTCATTTAATACCCCATAACAAAACCAGGCTCCCTAAGTCACCCACCATCACCCCTTCCAAAATACGGGCCATTTTAGGGACGCTGTTGCTTCATTCATTGAGGGTGAGTGATCCAAACTTGTCACCAACACTAGCTGGCGCTACGCGAAGAACATTCATAGCCTCGGAGACTTTCTCCTTAAGATCATCAGGGGACTCAATGAGATGAAGCACCTCAGTCTGATCCATCTCAAGCAACATTCCAGTAACTTTACCAGCATGATCGCGTTCAATGTGTTCCACTAGTGGAAATAACTGCTCTCCAAGCATCTGCAACACAATGCCATGGTTAAGCATTTGGAAACAAGGAACAAGTAGGCTCAAGTTTGACGTACCGCATGCTGATCTTCTGGAGAAGCAAAGGCCAATGAAGAAGCAAGTGTTGACGGTGGAACTGGGTTAGAGCGTTGAATATCCAAGGGAGGAGCTGTCATAGCAGAAGAAGCATCAAATGGTGCTTGCATAATTGATCCCATCATACCTTGAGAGATGCTAGGATACATGCCATTTCGTCCGTTTGGATTGAACCTTCCGGGGTTCCACTGCATAGATTAATAAAAAGCTTAAACAACTCAACTATCAGCCAAAATTTTTATCATAATAATCTTTTAATCTAGGGATATACGCATGAGAAGTTTGCGCTTACTTCACTTTGAACTGGCATTTGGAAGTGATTGTTATAACTCTTTACAAGAAAAAACAGTTTGAATACGTCCTAAATTAAAATGTATGAAGTTAATAAAGAGAAAGAATATGCACCTGCTGCTGATGATGAGGAGTTCCTCCCCTCCTTCCACCAATACGTCCATGTTGTCCTTGACGCTGAAACTGATAGGGCAAGAGGAAATTTGGACCAACACCTGGACGAAGTCCGGGCATGAATTGTTGCTGGTAGCCAAATCCAGCAGCTTGAGGTGCTACAGCTTGACCAAAGTAGACCTGTGGAGGAGCAAGTCGAGGTGCCCCAGTGTGATACCCAGGCATACCTCCAGGAGGAGGAGTCATTAGCCCAGTTGGTCGCAGCTGAGCAAAATGTGTCTGCTAAAAAGTAAACATCAAATTAAGCAATGAACATCCATAATCCAATGATTGTAACATAAGTTGCAAAGAACATGTCCATGTAATATCTATCATATTAAAGGCACGATGAACTGGAAGATGCTCTCTGTGCTTAGAGCAGACTCTTGAGTAATATCTACCTAGAAAAATACATTGAAGCATCTAAAAACTTGAATCTTATGAGAAAAAATCTGGTGTACGATACCTGTAGCCACACTCTTCTTTCATCCTTGCGCTGGGCAACAGCGACAAATAAAGGTTTCCTTCCTATCAACTTGCCGTTCATCTCATTCAACTGAAACAATAATAAAAACAATTTAAGCATACATACATTTGTCTCTTCAAAAGCAAGCAACACAAGGTAGATTAGATAATTTGGACAACTTACTGCTCGTGTGGCTTCCTCTGGGGTGGAGAAGGCAACAAATCCAGAACCCTTGCTACTCCCTTTTGCATCGCGCATCACCTAATAATAATTTCAAATTGATATGAGAAACACGAAAACAAACTTTTCCATAGATGACAAGTACTTAAAAAAATTAACACGTTAGGCACATACCTTGCAGGATGTTATGGTTCCATACTCTACGAATAGTTCTTTCAGATTTTCATCATTCACAGTGTCATCAAGATTTTTCAAATATAAGTTAGCACCTTTTAGTTTCTCAAATCGACTAGCTCGTTCTTGTTCAAATTTGGCTCTAAGATCTGCTTCCCGCTCTGATTTCTTCTGTGCTTTGCCAACATACAGAACATTTTCATTCAATGAACTACCATTCAGTTCTTCAACTGCAGATGCTGCAGCATCCCAGGTCTCAAAATTAACAAACCCAAAACACTTGGATTTCCCACTAGAGTCTGTCATAACTACAGCACTGGTGATGGTGCCGTACTTTTCAAAAAGTTTCTTGAGATCTTCATCACTAGTAGATTCAGGTAAGTTTTTCACATAAACATTTGTGAATTTTTCACAAACATTTCCTCTCCTTTCTTGACCACGAATGAAGTAGCCAACATACACTTGCTTATCATTTATCAACATACCATTTAATCGATTGATTGCTTTCTGAGCAGCTTCATCCTGATCAAACTGTACAAAACCATAGCCTTTTGATTGACCATTACTATCCACAGCTACCTTGCAGGACAGAACTGTTCCAAAGGCACCAAAAGTGTCCTGCAAAGCCTTGTTATCTATCGACGAGTCCAGGTTCTTAATGAACACATTAGCATAGCCGCTCTTCCGCAAGCTAGGATCTCTGTGAGAGAACATTATCCTCATAGGTTTTCCATTCACTTGAGTAAAATTCAACAACTCCCTTGCAGTAGTAGCTGCAACAAACAAATTACAAAAACAAAAACTCATCAACACCCATAAAGTATATTAATATAAAGTATAAGTAGACAATAACCTTTACACATCCCAAATTAGATTGCTATTTAAAGACATGTACATTTTTTTGTGAACTCAAGTGAACTTTAACAGTGTTGGATGAACTAATGAAGGTACAAATTGACCAATTTAATTCAATTTCCATTTGAAAGGGTGCAAAACACATATTGCCTATAGTCTTTATAATTTATAAACTAAATCAGACAATGCAGTAAAAAAATATAACCTATGCATAATTAATGCAAGCATTAGAAATACACTTTATTTAGCTTTAGAAAAAGAATAATAGATACCTTAACTTTGTGTATTAGTTTGTTTGGTACACTTTTTAAACACTATGTATAACTAATACACGAAAAATTCATGATATTAATTATACAAAGAGTATTAATACATGCATTAACATGAATAAATACATATTTGCCAATCAAAATCTTTTTTACTGTACAAACAAATATTCTTTTAGAAATTATTTTATAAGTATTATTTAACTATGTACAACTAATACATGAAAATTCATGGTATTGATAATACAAAGAGTATTAATACATGCATTAACATGAATAAATACATATTTGTCTATCAAAATCTTTTCCACAGTATAAACAAATATTCCTTTAGAAATTATTTAATACATAGTATTTGTAAACACAAAAATCAACACAGCATAAGAAATAATAAAAGATAAACTAATATCAATCTTACTATATTCAGCACAATTCTTATGCAACTCAGTAATTATAAAAAGGCTGAAAATCATAGCATAGCAAAAATATAAACTCATCACCACTAATACACATATTAATAGTTCTAATATGTATATTGAGCACAATTCTTATTGAGCACAATTCTTATGCAACTAGCTAAGTTAGTAGTTATAAAAAGGCTGAAAATCATAGCATAGCAAAAATATAAACTAATCACGACTAATACACATATTATTTGTTCTAATACGTATGAATAATGAAAATAACGATACATGCAAATAAACAATTCAGTGTATATAGATAAAATAATATAAAATAGAGAAAGAGAAAAAGCTGTTATACCATCTTGTGTGGAAGTGAAGTTTACGTAAGCGTAACCAAGGGACGCTCGCCGTGATTGATCTCTGCAAACCCTAACAGACAACACTGGTGCAACCTGATTAAAAACTTCATACAATTGTCCTTCATCTACCGCCGTATCCAGATCTCCGACGTACAGCGAATATTGACCAGCACCACCACTACCCGTTCCTCCCACCACATTCGGAGAAGGTGGTGGCGTTACTCCAACAGCCGCCGCCGCCGCCGACGCTGTAACAGCCGCCGGAATTTGTACTGTAGCCGGTAATTGAGGAACCGCCGCCATATCAATACTGATTTTTATCACCGATCGAAAAATCAGATGAATGTGCCCTAAATAAATAAATTGAGAATTGAGTGAACAAAAAAAGAGAAGAAAAGATCGCCGCTAAGCGCAAACGATGAGTGATAAAATAGTGGGAGAGGGGTTTATATATGAAAAGAGATTGTGGGCCCCAATTATGAACCGGTATTTTAAAGGCAGCGATTTGAGGTGGGGCCGCACGTGCGCATCTAAAATATTTCATGCTAAAATAAAATTTAAATATTTAAAACTTATATAAATAATATTATAAATTATAATTTTTTACATACAAATAGAATGAAAAAGATACCTGACAGAGTATAAAAAAATCCATAGAAAAATTGAAGGAAAAATAAAAATTACCTGATTAATAATATATTATATGTACAAGTGAAAGATCGAATAATGTTACAATGGATTACAAGAAGAGGGTTTACAAAGAAGAGGTTGGAGACTTTGTGTAATTAAGTTAATAATTCTCTAACTAAGCCACGCTATTTATAATACTAACCAACCAAATTAAACTAGAATTAGGAATTTCTTTAACTAATATAAATCCTAATTCAACACAATTAACTAAATACCATAAGTAACCAATTCTAGATTATTAAGAATTCCTATAATTAAATTACTATAAGTAATAAATCCTAAACTAGTAAGGAATTCCTGATTTATCTTCTAAGTTTTCTAGCTATAATATACGCTATCTTTTGAGTAATATTTGATTTTCAAAAAATATTTATATTGAATTGAAATAGCTAAATAAACTATAAATTATATTCATTGGGGTAATTTCTTAATGAATTGTGATTTTTGTTAAATAGATGCTTATTTTTGTAAAAGACAAACAAATTTTATTTTGATATTTAAACTTAGTGATCTTAAAATAAAAAATATGTGAAATATATTAAAATTATCTTTTATTTTGTAATATTGAAATAGCGTCCCTGAGTTGCAAAAGAAAAGAAGTGAAAGATGTACTTTCTTAAACAATTTTTTTAATTAAAAAAGTCAAGAAAATTAAAAGAGAAAGAGTGTGTTAATACAGAAAACAAATTCGAAAGAAACAATATGCACACAACTCTATTTTTCCCTTGAGTCAGAATAATTCGAAACAAAAAAATTAAGCAAAAATATGGATTAAATTATTACTTGCCATAATAGTTATTTATTGTACTATTTTGAAATATTTTTAATAAAATTTATTCATTTTTATAAAATTAATAAATGATTTCACACTTAATTCATGATTTACCTAGGATTGTTCTAAATCGAATAGAAATTGATAACTTGAATCGAAAAAAAGTTATTAATTTATCAGTATTGGGTTATTAATTTAGCGGTTTTAATAATATTTTTATTATTATCGGGTTATCAATTCTTAATGATTTGGGTTTTTTTCTTTACGGGTTAATCGATAATCGGATAGTAAATTAAATATAATGTCCTTGACTTATAGTTTGGTTTCCTACTTTAATTTTTTGTTGTCTCAAACACTTGGTTATTCTACTACGTAAAAATGTTTGTTTTAGAGCATGATGTAACTTGTGAACTCATGTGCATGGTTTATTTTGGGTTGACACCTTGTTACTAAGTGATTTTCAAATATATATATTTTTTTATCAAATTTTAATGGTTAAATCGATAACCGAACCGAAAACGATCAGAAATTGATATATCAATAACTGATAAGTCAATGTCTTAATGGTAATATAAGGATTTAGCATCTCTACAAATCGATAATCAATAAACCAAAACAATAACCCTTAAAAACGAACCAACCGATACACAACCATAATTTACCTTATCATTAGTTATAATTATATCCTACCACATTTTATAAGATATTATATCTATTATATTTAAAGAGTGATAGAATAAAATTACTCTTTTATTTGATTTTTTTTAAAAGTGTGTAAAATTAGTAAACAAGTATTCCCTACGTTTAAAAAAAATGATCTCCTTTCCTTTTTAGTATGTTTCAAAAAGAATGATCTGTTTCTTTTTTTGGTAATAATTTTTCACGTGACATTTTAAGATCACAATATTAAAGGGCAATTTTTTGTATTTGACATAACTTTAATATAGTACCACATGATCAAAAGTCTTTTTTATTTTTTTAAATTTCGTATCAAGTTAAACTAGATTATTCTTAATAAAACGGAGGAAGTATCATTAAACATTGTGATAATCTTTTTTTTATTTTTTTAAAAAAGTCAAAGCGTGTTCTACTCATGGATAGAAATAGAATTTCGAGCATTTTGTGATTATATGCACCCGTTTTGTGTAGCTCCTTGAATTTGTGCTAATAATATACACAATGTTGACTTTTCGATAGTTCTTTAAATTTGTGTTAATAATTATAAATTTATACTAATATTTGTCCACTTTTAATCTTTATAATTTTTAATTTTAAAGTTAAAGTATAAAATTTTTTATTAACATTTTATAATATATATTTTTATCATATTGATATGTAAAAAAAATTATAATTTGTAACACTTTTTTTTATAGCTTTTAAATATCTAATTTTTTGTTTAATATTATCGAATTAATATAATTTAATTTAACTTTAAAATTAATTAAATTAACTTTCGAAAGATACAACATGAAAAATAAAAATGAATGGAGAAAGTACCATTTGACTTTTTGATAGCAATGCAAATTTTGTGCTAATAATTATTATTCCTTTCGTTCCGTATTAAATAAATTTTTTATTAAAAATACTTCGTTTATATTATTTGACCACTTATTAAATTAGAAAAGAATTAATTAGCTTGTTTTTCATTATACTCCTACTATTAATATGGCCTTTGTAAGTGTAAACAAATTTCAAAGATCAAAATATTTTTTTTCAAAAGGTCAATTAATATGAACAATAGATAATATAGTAAAATTGATCGATCTATCAATGATTTATTAATTATCGTGTAAAATAGTAAGTATTCATCTAATATGAGATGGAAGGGGTATAAATTTATATGTACTATCAATAATTGTAAATAAACCAAATAACAAAAGACACGTGAAGACAAAATTTGAATTTAATTTTGAATTATTCATTATTGTTACTTATAGTATTTTTTTTACGTAATTTTCAAATATATAAATTTCATTTAAAAAATTGAAGAGTCAAAGCGCAAAATTTTCCATCAAACTTAATCTATTTGACCCTTAAAACAAAAAGTGTCACGTAAATTGAGTGTATTACTTGTACGATTGCATAAACTTTCTTTCTCTTTCTTTTTTTTAAAAAAGAGTTAGTGTACAACATGAATCTTTCGAGTAAATTGTATATTAAAATTCTCAAAATATCAAAAAGATTTTATATCTAAAATTTGAAAGTGTTTAAAAAAAATTTTGAGTAGGTCAAAACTGAATTAGAAAGAAAGCAACTGTCCAATCCAATGTGAAGACAAAATATGAATAAATTTTAGTAAATTACGTTCAAATTTTCTTCAGATTGACTTTTCTCCGTTTAATTTGTCATGATTTTATAATAATGTATTATCTAGTTTATTAAAAAATAATAATTTTATATTAAATTTATAAATATATATATTTTTATAGCATTCAAACATTGTATTAGTTTTTCCCACTTCATAATCTTCTAATATTCTACAATAGAATCTGTTAGATAATATATTTTTAAAATTTTTACTATTCCAATATCATACGATTGAAATTAGTAAGATATAATGATTTGAATGTATTTGTTGTACTTTATATATAATATTTTTACGTGAAATCAATAAATATGATACATAAATTAGTAAAATATAATGATTCTGATATGTTCAAATTAACCTTCATTAAATCTTATAACCATTCTTTAAATTAATAAATTTTAATTTATCAATTAAATAATATTTTTATAAAATAATAAATTTTTGTGGTCCCCACTATATTAATTTATATACTCCCTCCGTTTAAAAAATGATGATCTAGTTTGACTTGAAACGAATTTTTTTTTAAAAAAGAAAGACTTTTTATTCTTATGATTCTAAATTAAAGTTATGTCAAATGTACCAAAATGCCCTTTAATCTTGTGATTTTAAATATGTCACGTGAAAAAATAAAATTAAAATATTACCTAAAAAGGAAAGGAATCACTTTTTTGAAATAAACTATAAAAAAATAAAGGATTATTTTTTTTAAA